GTGGGGCACAAAAGTAATCCCTTTATCCCTAAACTTCCATTTTGGCAGATCCTATTTTATACCCCAAACTTTTTACTACACATGCTCTTCCTACCTTCAAGGAAAGTGTAGCTCTTTCCTGAAGATACATGAATTTCACCACAGCATTCTCAAGTCAGTTAGTTTACTACACTGCTACATATGAAAGACCTCTGTTTCTGACACTCATTCCATCTCTCTTAACTGATGCCATTTTGTTTTACGTTAATACCATTTACTATGCATGTTCAGACTCCTTTTAAATTGGGTAGGCTTTATTTTATTTTAAAATGTTTTTTATTTTTCAGTTACAGTTGACATTCTTTGACATTCTATATTATATTAGTTTCAGGTGTACTGCACAGCGATTAGACGTTTATATAACTTTCAGTGTGATCCCCCAATAAGTTTTGCACCCACCTGACACCACATAGTTATTACAATACTATTGACTATATTCCCTATGCTGTACTTAACATCCCGTCACTCTTTTGTAACCGCCAATTTGTACTTCGTAATCCTTTCTCCTTTTAAACCCAGCCTCTTAACCCCCCTCCCATCTGGCAACTCGTCAGGCTGGCTGGATGTGAGGGCTGGCTGTGACTACAGCAGCGGACAAGCTGTTGTGTGTGTGCTGACCTCACAGGGTGGGATTTGCTTTATTGGGGTTCTGGCACCTGCCCAGTCCACTCTTTTGGGGTGTCATTTGTGAGGCTCTGGGGTAGTCTGAAGCTGACTCCCAGGTGTACTGGTTTGGAGGCTTCTTGGGAGGGGCTTAAGTGCAGTCCAAGGTTAGCTGTTGCTTGTGTCTGTCTTGGGGCTACCTAGTAGGAGTTACAGAGGAATCTGCAGTTAGTAGCTGCCTGTGCTGGGCTTGGAGGCACCTGGGAGTGGTTATGCTGTGAGCCGAGGCTGGCTGCCACTAGTGCCAGGCTTGGGGCTGCTTAGCAAAGAGGTTCAAAACACCTGAGACCAGCCACTGCTAGTTTGGCATTTGTGGACCTTTGATAGATTTTAGGAAAAATCCACAGCATGGGCCCAGGCCAGCTGCCTGTGTGGATTAGCCTCTGAAAGAGGTTCAGGTTGGACAAGTGACTTGAGTGGGGCAGGGTCTCAGAAAATCACCAGGGTGGGGAGATCAGTGTTAGCCAGGTTAATGGAACTCAGAGATGGCACGCTGCAAGCTGGGTCAAGGAAGGGCACAACAAAGGAATAATGGCACCTGCCACCAGCTGATGCCATTTCTAAGCTTGTGGTTATTCCCTTGATTTAACTGAAAGATTTTAACACCTGCCTCTTAGTATCATTCTCCACTTCAGTATCATTGTGCATAATCCATCTGATCCTCTAGGTTCTCCTACTCATCCATCATTATCTCCATTTTACCTCAGCCAACCAATTTTATAATCAGACTGTGAAACTCATCAGTGCCCTAAACGTTTCACTTCTGGAGCCTTATCCTGCAGCTTCATGTTTTCTTCAAGCTCCTCCCTTCTCCCTTATCAGTTATTTCCAATATACCTCTCCTGCAACCACTCTGAGGCCTCAAGCCTATTGGCCTTATTACCTATTATCTTATCAGACTGCTTGTTTTGTTTTGTTTTATCACTTACAGTTTCTGGTCTACACCTCTATACACACTTTTACTAAGAGCCTCAATCCATCTGTGTTCTTGTTGCCTAGTGAATCATCCTGGAAATACTCGGAACATGAATCGTTCCAACTATTTTCTACTCTTTGATGACCTCTGACTTAATAAGCAATTTTGTGAAGACTGAAACCATTGTAAAAGTATACTATCTCTTTTCTTTTGAAAAGAAAATGGGGTAACATCAAGGCTACAATCCATTCCTCAAAGGAAAAAAGTGACTTAGTGAAAATTTGAAAACTGGTAATGACACATCTCCTAGAAAATATACTGAGAGAACATGAAATGATTTTAGCGGAATGCATGTGGACTATCTAAGGTTGCTTATAATAAAAGGAAGTAAACAAGCAACATTAAGATCTACAGACTTTTTGGACCATGGATCTTTAGAAAAGGTCAAATATACCATGTAACAACAGAGTACAAAGTGGAAATGTTTCATGACTGTGAAAAATCCCCTTTTTTGTTAATAATGACAGCATCTAGTACTTTAATTCTCATATGTGTAGTACAGGATATAATACTGATACTAATACTATT